CAAAGGCGATCGAATCTTCAACGAATATAAGTATTTCTCAATATCTAACGCATCCATCCATAGTAACACTGATATGAATATGTGGTTTGAGGAACATGTTATGGAGCCAATCATGATAAAGTTAGAAGAGTTTCAGGAACGTGATAGTGGTTAGACGTTGGAAGCAGTAGTGAATTTGGGGGTTACCGTAAACAAATTTGTGCCGCAGAGAGGTTCATTATACATTGAACTGCCTTCTCAAATCAAACGAAAAATCATGATAATGCCTACTTCGCTTGGGCCATTGTTTCGGCGTTGTATCCAGTTCTCCATGGACAACATTCAGATCACATCCTATCTTATCCTGACAATTCAGAAGTTCTGAAGTTGTAAGGTATTCACTTTCCGAAGAAAATTATTCAGATAAATAGTTTCGAAGAGAGTGAATGATCACTCAGTCAATGTTTACACGTTGAAACTTTTTAAATCCAAGTATACTGTAATACCGCTAAGATTGAGCATATCAAAAAATAGACGCAAACATGTGAATCTACTCATGATTCGAAACATGTATTACGATGAAAGATGTGAGGATTCAATAAATGTCTATGATGTTACGTCACCAACCAGAAAACACTTTGTTTGGATAGAAGGTCTTTCTAGTTTGGTGAGTAATCAACTCGACAAACATAATAGAAAAAAATATTTTTGCCATAGGTGTTTTCACTGATATCAAGATGATCTAACAATTCCCATCGTGTTCCATAACTTATCAGTATGATGCACATTTTGTTATAGAAAATATTGCATTGGATCTCAATGGAAGTGTCGCCGTTTGGCCGATAACAAAGGAAAAGTATATCTCCTTCACCAAAAATATTTCTGGTAGCAAGATCCACTTCAGATTTTTTAACTCATTCAGATTTATGAGTTTTTCGCTGGATACGTTAGTATCATATCTATAATCGCTCGAATGATGAAGAGTAGATTTTGACAAAAAAGGGTGTAATGCCGTATGACTATATCGATTCTTTCAAAAAATTCGATGAAGATTGTTTACCTCCTATCGAAACCTTTTACAACATATTGGAGGAAAAACCGTGTCCTAGGAGATCTTACGTGCCAAGCTGATATGGGCTACTTTCAATATGAACACATTGTGAAAATATACGAATCTGTATTTGAAGACGGATGTTATGCTTCTGGCTATGTCTTCGAGCAGTTCCGCTCAAGTTGTCATAAAACTTACGGTTTGGATCCTGCCCATTATTTCACTCTGCCTGGCTATACATTTTCAATTGTGGAATATCATTGACTTCAGGTCGATGATGGTCATTATCTTGCACTGATGAGTGGCTAATAAGCCCGAAACCGGTCTGCAAGTGTGCCTGTTCCATAATTGAAGGTCGACTCTTTCAGTCGTATTGCCAATTACATATGCAGGACATTTTCTGTGAAGATTCCTGCACTGACGCCTGTCGGATATAATCCAACGCCCTTCGTGGTATTAGCCAGGGGAGTAGTTGTTTTTTGATAGGCGTCAGTCCATTAAACCTACTGTGTAGGTATATAGAGACTGGTTTGAACGTTTGAAGTTCCATTTGCTTTAGATTTGTTTGCTGCCAGTCTTCAAGCATAGCCCACTGACTAATAAGAAAGTTGATCTACATCGGTGAGAAGTTCAAATTGCTGTTTCGTTTTGAATAACATAGCATGCCATGTATAGCCAGGCAGATTGAAATAATGGGCAGGATCCAAACCGTAAGTTTTATGACAACTTGAGCGGAACTGCTCGAAGACATGGCCAGAAGCATAACATCCTTCTTCAAATACAGATTCGTATATTTTCCCAATGTGTTCATATTAAAATTAGCCCATATCAGCTTGGCACGTAAGTAAGATCTCCTAGGACACGATTTTTTCTCCAATATGTTGTGAAAGGTTTCGATAGGGGGTGAACAATCTTCATTGAATTTTTTGAAAGAATTGATATAGTCATACGGCATTACACCCTTTTTTGTCAAAATCTACTCTTCATCATTCGAGCGGTTGGAAAACTTTGATATGAGATTTGGAAAATCTGATAGATATGATACTAACGTATCCAGCGAAAAACTCATGAATCTGAATGAGTTAAAAAATCTGAAGTGGATCTTGCTACCAGAAATATTTATAGTGAAGGAGATATACTTTTCCTTTGTTATCGGCCAAACGGCGACACTTCCGTTGAGATCCATTGTATTATTTTCTATAACAAAATGTGCATCATACCCTGATAAGTTATGAAACACGATGGGAATTGTTGGATCATTTCGATAGTTTATAATGCACTCATGGTTGGCGATTAATTATTTTTAGGTATTTGACGATTATGGTCGCATACTATTTTGTCTGATATATTGAATGGTTTGTCACATATATGACAATGAGCTGCTGCCTGAAATATATGTTTCCTGACTGGCTGATATATCTACATCGAATGGACACAGGAACACAGTTGCAACATCTTCAGCAAACTGACCTATCTCGTCTGCAAACCATTTCATACAATTTTCATCACGAAATGATCGATAAAATGATAGTAGTGTATCATCATAAGAGCGTTTCACATAATATCCAATAGATGCCGGAATGTGTCGTTAATATTTATTGCCATCTTGTGCAGATACCAATACACTCGGCATATATGACGAAAGGCGATGTAATTTTATTTTTGAAATTTTTGAACTTCAAAATATATTTTCTCTCCATAGGTAATTTTGGTAGGCATTCCTTCGTCTTTGAGCAGTCTTCAAGGTGTTTATCTAACATTGCTTGCATGGAAAAACAGTGAAAACACCTATGGCAAAATTTTTTTTTCTATTATGGTTGTCGAGTTGATTACTCACCAAACTAGATAGATCTTTCATTCAAACAAAGTGTTTTCTGGTTGGTGACGTAACATCATAAATATTTATTGAATCCTCACATCTTTCATCGTAATACATGTCTTGAATCATGAGTAGATTCAGATGTTTGCTTTTATTTTTTGCTATGCTCAATCTTAGCGGTATTACAGTATACTTGGATTCAAAAAGTTTCAACGTGTAAACATTGACTGAGAGATCATTCTGCTCTTCGAAACTATTTATCTGGATGATTTTCATCGGAAAGTGAATACCTTACAACTTCAGAACTTCTGAATAGTCAGGATAAGATAGGATGTGATCTGAATATTGTCCATGGGGAACTGGATACAACGCCGAAACAATGGCCCAAGCGAAGCAGGCATTATCATGATTTTTCGTTTGATTTGAGAAGGCAGTTCAATGTATGATGAACCTCTCTGCGGCACAAATTTGTTTACGGTAACTCCCAAATTCACTACTGCTTTCAACGTCNATATACACAACGTGGACCAATTTTCACTTATTGAAACCTCGGAAAATAATCCTCAATAAGAGAAGTCACCAATGACAAATTATCCAATAGGTTTCCAACAAACTTCACTTACAGCCACCTCAAAAACAATAATCGCTTTTCAAGGTGACTCTGAATACTTCGCATTTTTTTTTTCAGGTAGCAAAAAGAAAATCAAACGAATGTCCCTACGTCACTAATGATTGAATGCTAGACCAATCAGAATGGATCACGGGAGAAGAACTTTCGGTCGGACCTGAATCAACTGAGACACGGACAATACTCGGAAACAATTAAATTCCATTTCTTTGAAGTTATCTAGGTCATTTATCCAATTTAGAAATTATTCCCAGTGATTATTGCCATAACCACTGTTGAATATATTATTACAGTACTCTTTCAATCGATGCTTCCACTAACATTTTCGGAAATTGACCGCTGATAACGGAACGAATCTCGACGGAGTGTTTTGAAAATAAATACGATGGTTAACAGAAGATGTCCAAAAATCATTTAAAATCGAGTATCACATTTCTCTTAGAAATATCAGATGAATAATTGAAGAAATGATATGAAGTTTATTACAATGAAAAATAAACTAATTTTCGTATGTGTCTCCAGTTGATAATTTAGGGTTCTTAGTGAAGTGAAAATATACCGTTACAACGCGTTGGGGATACCTTTCCTGATATCGCTTGAATTTCCGTCACCTAAGCCGTATGCAAAAACCATATCATCCGTTTCAGCATTCGTAAAGTCGGGCATGGTACCAAAAAATCACTTTATAAACTCCGAACTCCGAAGAGTGAAAAAATTATTGAAAACAAATTTGGCTATAAAGTAATATGCATCGATATAGAAATTGTACATATCTCGAGAACGATCACAACCAGCGTTATTGAGTAAGTGTACCTTTTTTACTTGGAAAAGGTGTTTTTTCATGAAAAGTTTACTGTCAAAAAAGTTTGGGCAATTTGAAATAAATAATGACAGCGTAATTAATACGAAATTATTATTTCCCACGTCAAAAAAACCCCGGGTACCGAATTTCGTGCAAATAACTTATTTTTCGCAAGAGTTATTTTCAAAAAGTGAACAAAAAATTCAATTTCAACACCCCGTATCTCCGAAACGAAGCATTTTCGGATACAAGTTCATTTAGACTTTTTTCTTGAATTTGTCTCAGGAATACGTCACTTGAATATTTTAAGTACTTATGTTACACCCTGTATATAAAAAAAGCTGAAATTGACTTCATTTGGTCGGGATGACCACCGTTAAACCGGTTTCGGAGTACTAGCTTCTCGTCAGTATTGGGAGGGTTATTTCAGACGAAGTGAAACATCTGAATATCCAGAACAAACAAAATTAAAGACCATTTGAAATTAAGAAATTTGGTTTGATATATCTACTCTCATCAGTTGAAAGATCATTCAACTAATCAAAAACTGGATCAGTATTGAATTAGATATATTGTATCAATGTCGATTTGGACAAATTGAAAAAATGACTTTGATTTAATCTTACTAGCAGTCATCAACTGCTACCATGAAAGTAGTTGTAAACATTAATACCACAACAACTGTCTACAATAAATTCAGTTTCTTTTCATCCAAATGAAAATTCTATTTTATTGTACAGGTTTTTCCTGTGTTGCTTCATCCAAAATCTAAAGGATACATGGAGTTAAAATCAAGGAATCCTTTAGATCCACTCAAATACTTTGCTAACTATCTATCGGATCCTGAAAATCAAGATGTGAAGACTTTCATAGCAGGAATAAGAGAAATTCAAAGGATTAGCGACAGTCCGTCGATGCAAAGATACGGAGCCAAACTAGTTGATACCAAAATACCTGGTGAGTGTACGGAATATTGAATACACAAATTTGATCAGTTGATATTTCTGACCCACAATTTACTCAATCTTATGTTTTTGATAAATTAGTTAAGGCTGCTGAAAAAGAATCATTCCAACATAAACATTACCTCAATTCATTTCCACCCCCAAGGTAACCGATAATACTCCAACTAATAATAATGATAATAATATAATACAATATGAGCGTGACCTTCCTATAGCCTGGATCGATTACCGTAAGGCATTTGATACAATATCCCATGAGATTATCTTGCATTTGCTCAGATGCCTTGCGGTACTCCACAAAATAGTGAGATGCACTGAACAACTGATAGGTACCACTTTGGCGAACTCGCTTCAACATAACATCTGGTCAAGCAAGAGTCCAAACAGGGTGGGTCACTTTCAGAAGGGGTGTATTTCAGGGTGATTTCCTCAGCCCCCTTCTCTTCTGCATCTCACTATTGTCAATATCCGTTACGCTCAGAAATACTCCAGGGGAATAACTGTGGCACCCCCGAAAACCGGAGGCACAAGGTCACCCATTTGTTTTATATGGATGATCTTAAACTTCATGCCTCTGGGGAGAAGGATCTTCATCAGTCCTTGAGAGTGATGGAAGAGTACACGCATGCTATCACTATGCTATGTGCTTTGGTCCATCTCAAAAGAGGACGATGCGGGGATTACGGAGAGGATGGGCAGCTCGTAAATGGAAGCATCCTACACCATTTGCATGCCGGAGAGACGTATACCTATCTCGGGGTGAAACAACGCCACTCATAAGAGGTAATACCGGTGAAAAACTACTTTCGCGGCAAGTATCAGCACAAACTTCGACAGATCTGGTAATCGGAACTGTCGAGAGAGAACAAAGTTGCTGCGACAAATATGCTTGGCGTTCAAATCTTACTCTACTCGTTTGTGGAAGAGAAATGGACTCGGGAGAAGTTGTATCAACTCGACGTAAAGACCCGAGAAATTAGGAATATCTATAGGAGTTTGAAGAATTGGAGTCCTCCTTTTCAGTTGGTTTAGTTTTCGGCACTGAACGAGGTGACCACAACTCTGTCACCGTGTTGGAACCCGTTCAGCAAAAATCTCATATAAAGGCCGCATAGATCAACTCACTTCTGCGGAAACACTAGGATAAGCCAATGCTGTCTTCTTCAATAACATTGGAGACTTTGCTTTTCTCAGGTCAAGTGGACTGAAGTCGGAAAGTGAGTGGTCCATTATGGCTTGCCAGGATGGTATTTTCAACACCTTCGTCTGCCACAGTCCCGTGATGGGTATAGAGGTTCCTGACACATGGTGCAGGGCCTGCCGCTGGGCACCCAAAACCCTAATGCACTTGCTATCAGCATGTTCAGCATATGCGGTCCCGACCTATATCCATCGACATGACGAGGCTCTAAGAGTGCTATATTACCAGATACGGCACTCTTACGGTATTGACGAGACATCGGTATTGCCCTACGCCCCAGGGGATATTGAATCCGTTGTGGAGAACGAGAAGTACCGAATTTATTGGAACTATCCGTTCCCCACCCTCAGGCTCATAAAATCTAATAAGCCTGATGTAGTCTTTCTCGACCACCAGAGCAAGACGATATTTGTCGTGGAGTTTTCAGCTCCTAGCGAGACGAATATCGTCCGAGAAGAGGAGGAAAAACGGATAAAGTATCGAGATTTTCTATCCTATCCAGACAACTTTGTCAAGATGGTTGTTCTGATTATTGAAGTCCTTGGTGGAATGATGCCCTCTCTACTCTCGAATCTTGAAATCATACCGGCATGCCGCACCAAGGCAGAAATGTTAGCCGGACAGATGCAGAAAGCTGTCATTCTTGACTCACTGCGCTTGCTCAGGGCACATGATTCTCGGACCCAATGATCACTTTTCCCACGGTGTGGAGTGTGGTCGTTGGTTGATAATGCTGGCGCGCCTTCCCGAATGTATCGGGGCTTCGGATGATAAGGCCTGACCAGCGCGTACTCTGGTTTAAAGAAATATTGATGAATGTATTTATTGACAGCAGAAATAACACAATAGAATACAGAGGAAAAATACAAATTTGTCAGTGGTATATGAGATTGAAGAGAGTTCATTCTTTCTCTTGCACCTCGCACCAACTATGACTTCTTTTTCTCCAATATACCTCAGCCAGCTAAAGAGGCCAAACATACATTATCAACACCTCCGCCCATGTTGCCGGGATCATGCTACAATAACTTTCGGTATCATAGCATCATTTTTTCGCGATATCACGTGAAATCTTGGATATTCAGAAAGCTAATTTTCATTCTCCTGAGTCAGCCAACCAGAAATCGTATGGAGTATCTGAGCCAGCCTAGAGTTGTATGGGGTTTCTAGGCCAGTAATATTTATTGACAGCAGAAATAACACAATAGAATACAGAGGAAAAATACAAATTTGTCAATGGTATATGAGATTGAAGAGAGTTCATTCTTTCTCTTGCACCTCGCACCAACTATGACTTCTTTTTCTCCAATATACGTCAGTCAGCTAAAGAGGCCAAACATACATTATCAACACCTCCGCCCATGTTGCCGAGATCATGCTACAATAACTTTCGGTATCATAGCATCATTTTTTCGCGATATCACGTGAAATCTTAGATATTCAGAAAGCTAATTTTCATTCTCCTGAGTCAGCCAACCAGAAATCGTATGGAGTATCTGAGCCAGCCTAGAGTTGTATGGGGTTTCTAGGCCAGTAATGAAGCATATGACGTTTTTAGAGCAGCCTGAACTCTCAGAAGTTGAGAAACTTGTGCGAGCTAAGGACTAACGAGGTCTTACCTTTTAACGTGTAATTCCTAACACGGTTGCAGAATCATCCCAGCTTCAACCAGATAAATTCTCTCGAGAAAAATATCTGGTCGAGGCAGGAATCGAACCCACGGCCTTCCGATCGTGAGTCGGGCGCACTACCACCGCGGCCAATTCCACAACGTGTGGACTCTGACGTTTTGTTTGCAATTGCGGCATATACTTACTGCGATGCGGTAATATTCGAAGTCATCCTCTTGCTGCGTAGTATGCCACAATTTCCCAGAAACATGTTAACCATGACCAGTATCTCCAAAATCATTTTCAGCTAAATTTCATAATTTTGAACGGACTTTAAACAGGCCGTTTCTTTTATCATGTGGTAACATTGCTCTATTCTAAACCGTAACAGATACAAAGACGATTAAACGGGAAAAAAGTAACTGTCATCAGGAACAATACAATCGTCGAAGAAAATTTACGCTCTTCGCGAGTTATACGGGGAAAACCAAAAATGCTGTTTTTTGTTTTTATCGAATGGAATTATTATTTCGGAGAATATCAAAAAATGGAGGAAACAAATGTTATTATATTCGAAGTGTACTATGGCGATGTAATAATAAATATTCGATAAATCGTTTCGTGTCAACATTGCCACCATCAACTTTTTTAAATACGGACCTATCTTTTTTATTGCAGATATTGATAAAGCAATAAATTCACAATCCAGGATATATCACATTTGATATTTTCATAGCGTTTCATTTGAAATAACCACCATCATCAGTGACAACAAACAAAAAGAAAAACTATTTATTTTATCATGAAATTTTGGGAAAAATGACACCAATACGGAAAATCAAAGCTACATGGCAATTCACATTAAATACTCGAATTGACGACCTCTTTGTTGAATGCTCATAAGTTGTCGGTCCAGACAATTTCTGTGGTAATTTTCTAGCATAATAGGTATAATACTAATACATGCATCTCTTATTTTTTGTTTCAGATGGTCGATATCTATACTTGGTGTTGAAAAAACTTTATCCTCTATGTATCCCCAGACAAAAAATCTAAAAGAGTAAGATCTGGGATCGAGCTGGCCAGTTAATTGGTCCATTGTTTCCAATCCACTTTCTTGGAAATATTGCATCTAAATGTTCCTTTGTCATTGCTGCATTATGGAAAAGAGCGCCCTCTTGTTGAAAATATTGTATTTCATGGCAGATATCCAGTGACAATTAATCCAAGTAGCCATCGAATTCATTTAATAAAAAATGACGGATTTTCGTTCCCACAATTCTCAACCAAACATCTATTCCGTACCTTTATTGGAAATTGGTTTCCCAATGTAAATGATCAATTGTATTATTTCACCTAAAATGTATTTTTCTGTTAAACCAACCGTTGTTGGTGAATTTTGATTCGTCCGTTCATATTATTTCCAACTTCCCTATTTCTACGTCTCAACTAGTTAGCAAATCGTACTCTTTTTCCGTAATCTCTTTCATTGAGGTGATGAACTTTGCGTATCCTTGAGCATTTATATTTCTTCTTTTTCAAAAAATTCTGGTGGATTTTATAGAAATCCTCATTTCGTGGGCAATGTCTCGTGAAGAAAAATCATAAATTTAAAAAAAGTTCTCAGGATATTCACTTACCCATAACAATTATTTGATTCCTCACACCTCCAGTTACCACACATTTTCTTGTTTTCTTCCTGTCAAATGCACCATGGTCCTTCAAATTTCTTTCTAATCCTCTTAACATTTGGATGTTCGGAATACAACGATTCGGGTATAGCTCAACATAATTATTCCTTTCCAAAAGAGTATTTCTATTTGACAGTCTGACAGTTCTCAACATATATCAACAACGCATTTATTTTTCCTACCATAGCAAAGCCTACGCGTTTAAGATGGTAAATGAATTGATCATACCAAATTATACAACAATTTAATTTTGACCAAAAACTGATATTTTCGTTACTTTCATGATTGAGAATGATAAAAATATTACGAATAATAATTGATTAGGGAGAAATAAGAACGATTACGGCAATACAAAAATTTCCAAAACGAAAAAGTACGAATTTTCATTGTGTTAGGGTACCTACCTGTCGAATGTATTGGATTGTCCTAATTACATTTTGAAGAAGGACCGTGATATACCCTTGGATTGTGAATTCATGGCTTTATCAAT